TCCAAAGGAAATAGGAATTGTTAATATTTGAACGATTTCAACCCAAACCAATAGGAACCGCAAGGAGTTTCAAAGGACATGGAATGGAACCAAAAGGAATTTAAAAGGTAACCGGAATCAAAAGGAGCTGGCAGTAAAAAGAAAATCAATAGGAACCAAAAGGAGTTTACAAAGAAACCAATAGGAATCAACAGTGTTTTGAAGGAAATGGATAGGAAGCAAAAGGAATGTATAGGAATCAAAAGTTTAGTTGAAATTGATAGGAACCAAAAGGAACTTAGTGGACATCAGTATAGGCTCTCTTTGTTCAACCTTTTTTCAAGGAATAGAGGGTACCCCCACTAGTACTTCTTAGAGTCCCGTTGCCAGCGACGGTCGGTTGTGGACGTGACTTTTGAAACGATCAACACGGTTGAACGAAACCTGAGCTATGTGTCATCCTCTTCACGTCTTCAGGTTGTATAAAACTGATGTCGTGCAGATCATTGCGTAGAGACGCTGTGCCCTGAATTTAGGGGTCATTTTGTCGAAGGTGCCATTCTGTAGAGCCCAGTTTTTTTTTGTACCAATTGTTTGTCGAGACCCCTCCCCTATATTTAATGGGGATGTATTTATATAGTTTAACTGCATGCACCACAGTGCGGTTTCCAGGCAAGGACATTGGGAGCGTTCACTTCTTGCTAGCTTGTGCTGTTTCGGGATGGGGGTGGCACACGACTTTCTCCAGGTGGGAGGAAGCGCGGCTGAGGCGAATGGCGGGAGCTCATCTACGAACCTTTCATTCACTGGAGCAGGCCGAGCAGGGTTCGGTTGCGGAAAAACTGGTGTCACCGGGCTGTGGAAAGAAAGCGTGACCTTTGTTTGTGTGATGTTTGTGTTAGCCTCACACTCTCACCTCCAGGTCGGGGCCAAAATACGAATAATGCGTTCAGCCATGCCAAGTACAGATAAAAAAATACATGCATCTGAAAATATCTGAAACCAGTACCCAGTTCAGGGTATATTATTGCATCCTTCTCTGACTGCATCTCGTATGTGTCATCTGCTTGTCCAAGGGAGCTGAAACCGCCAACCAGCACATGAATCAACATTGTATATATCCGACATCCTGTGGGCTTTTCGAGTTCGCGACCAGGCATGGCGGCCACATCCACCGCACCACTCGGGACATGGCCCTCCTGTTGCGCAACGCCCTCATGCGCGGCCGGGGGCAGATCGAAGGCGACGCCTGGCAGGGCCCTGCGTTGAGCCCTCCGTTGCGTAAACGGCCTAGACCAATCGGCTATGAGTGAACGCCTCCCTCTCCAAACCATGGTAGCTTGACACCCCTTGTAGGGATTTTTTTCATTTTCAGGGATCAGCCAGGTTGCCCGGGTTTTGACCCACAGTCACTTGAGTTGACGCAGTTATTGCTAGAAGGACTGACTGTCATAGAGAGATTGCAGTGACTGCTTGGTGGACGATTGAATCTCAGTGGCACCCGAACAGTCGCGTTTCCCATGGTGCGTTTTCCCTGCTAGACTAGCCAAGAACAGAATATACGTGAAGTCAATGATTCATTGAAGATGATTGAAACCCCTGATATTGTGTCTATGTCAGAACTCCCATGGATACCATGGAAATCCATGGAGAGCCGTCCTTTTTGTGCTTTGGCCTGAAGCAGGTTACGGCGATGTCACCTAGCAATACCTACTGTAGCAAATCCTAGCACCATGTTCACAGAACAAGCAGATACTTGCCCCCTGCGAACGGGTTCACATGTTCCTTTAGCTGGACCACTCAGCTGCTTGTTTCCACACGCGGGGGGCCCACTCGTCGGGGGGGGGGCCACTTTCCCGCCGCGCGGCTTCGCCAGGAGATGCGGGCTGCTTCTGCGTGTTCCTCTTCGCTGTTTTGGCCGCTTGGATGGTGGGACGACATTGAGTCACACCAGCACAGCAAGAAGACACTCAGGGGCTAGGACTAGTCAAGAATTTTAGAGGCATACCGGTGATAATACGGTAGATAAGTTACTGATTCCACCAAAGGTTTTCCTTTCTTATCTCCAAGTCCAGCTGCTCCGGTTTTGGGCTTTGGCTGTTGCTCGCACGTCCTTGAGGTGAGGGCCAGCTCAGACATTGCCTTCGTCGGAAAGACCTTGGGGTCGTTTCTACACGGCAGGTGGTGTCGGGGGTCGCGGGGGGGTTCCTTGTGACTAACAGGTTGCGTGGAGCGCCAGCATTTGCTTTTTGCACGCAAGACCCCGGAAAGGAATTGAATACTGAGCTCTATAGGAATCTCTAGGACACAGACTGACCCATTTCGGCCAGATTCATTGCAGGCAGTTTTCAGCCATCTCTTCAAACAAAACGGCGCAGTGCGTTCCTGGTCTTCGTGCTAGAATGATACGGCTGCTCCGCCGGCTGTTCGCTTGAGGTCTTATGACGTTCAGTATGCTGCTGCCCATGATGTTATGGCCTACTTCTCGCACATGATCGCAAGGCGGGCTCTCTCTTCGTGGGCGAAAACCGTCCTTTTTGGCCACCAGAGCGGTGCTGAAACCGACCACGGTGGACCTTGCTCATCCTTCTTCAACGAGCACCCTTGTCACAGTGATCCGCACAGGGCGGGCAAGCAATCCTCGACTGGGGATTAAATGGTTCGCCGTTGAAAATTCAGCCAGCTTGCTGCCCAAGCCGGAGACCAACATTTGTGTGTTCGAGATTGCGAGTTCATCACTCACTTGGCATGTTTTTTTGTTGGAGAGGACCGCTGCCAACCCCCTCAGCTCCTCTTGGCCTCTCCAACACGCCTGGCTTCGGACACTGGAGACCTTCCGTGCCGTGGCAGCCGCGCAGCCGTCCGAGCATGGCATCGCCGCTCGCTGCGAGTGTCAGGTGGGCGGTCTTCGGTGTCGGGACGAGGAGTCGAAAATGAGACACACGGAGAGAGGCACTGGGTTGGTTTTGTGATACATGTGATACCTATGGAGTGCGTGTTGTACAATTGGTTCTTTGATGTTCCCTCAGCTTGACCGCACGTTCTGTTCGTCCTGTGAAGCCCAGCGACACGTCTGCGAGGAGCCCGAGGGCTTTTTGACGCCAGTGTCTCGGTTGAGATCGGTGCACTCCGGGAGATCGGTGCAGTGGAAAGACCACCTCCACCTGAGCAGGGGTCAGAACCTGCCATTGTTGTGACATGAAGGAGCCTTGTCAGACAGGCTTTCTCGCGTAAGCCGATTTTTCCGAACACATGTTGCGTAAGCAAAGTCGAACATAACAGGTTGAACACCATGTTTGGAATAACTGTGGCCTTGATCAGGGAGATGCTGAGTTGCAGTCGGCTGTTCTTATTTCAAGAGCCAACTTGTTGTGCTTTTGTTGGCGGGCCCATCAAGATGTAGAGCACGAGTTCCTAACATATGGCTGCAGCATGCTGCTCAGCCAGATGAATAAACAGTTACATTCTGATGTGGCCATCAGGGGCCATAAAGGGGCCATCCACGAAACTGGTCATCGGGCCAGGGGGGGCCACGGGGCCGCATGCGGGCGGATGTCGCTGATGGCAGTTCAGGGGCTTCACAGGCTTCATGCCTCCGCAGGTTGGGGTCAACTCAACAAACAGGTCCATATGTCCATCATCTTTTTAGCTTGAAAAAGACTCATTTTAGTTTCCAGATGTGTTGCGTCATCCAGCGAACTATTGTACATTATAGTACGTCTCACAAAACTCCCGATTTGCTCACCATCATCGCCATCCATCGCCATCGATCGCCATGACGTTCTGCAGGTCTCCAAAAGCAGCTTGTTCACCCTTTGATCCCTTTTGCTTCTTGCTCCAGGTGCTGAAGTTGCTGGAAAGCATGGAGCCCTCCAATTGGGCGGTGGCTGATTGGACCAGCTTCCTCGACTTGGACGATGTCCGGCTTCCACCGCTAATGCAGAAGCTTCGGCGAAGTCAGGGATGTGTGGGGGCGTGATTCGAGTTTGTTGGCGAGGACGTTGCAGCTAGCTGGCGCCTATAGATCGAGGTATCGTCTCGTCTTGTCTCCTGACACGGCTCACGGGCACTGGCATCCAACGGTATGCCTAAAAAGGGCCACTCAAACATCCGACGAAAGCAATGCACCAGCCGACGCCAACAAATGGAGACGGCAATGGTGTAGGGTGTAGGGCGGTGTAGGCCCACAGTTCCCAGGGGCACGGGATTGGATGCGCTGGATACCCCGGTGGTGTTGAAATGTGTTGAGGGGAAGGTGGCCAAGAGAACCCTGATGTTCATTGATTTGCTCCCTTCACTCTGACCGCTTGAGACACTGAATGTTTGAGGAAGAGTTGCGCCCACGAGACAACGTGTTCCGACGTGCAAGTGATAACGCACTTGCTGTGCGTAGCTTGGATGCATGGTTGAGTATACTATATGACTATAACATGCTATAACCATGTACTACATATAACATCATATAACTATACTATAGTGTCTATAGCATATGCTCTTACAAGGGTTGAAGAAGTGTCTTGTTTTTGTTTGGGCGCTGCCATGTGGGCAAACACGCGTGTAGTATGTTGTGTCAGCAAAACAGAGAGAGAGAGAGAGTTCCAACGCCAGCGCTTAACAGGATGGCGCCAACCTCACCAACAAAAAGAAAAAATCCGCAAAGAGTGTTTCCATGATACGACATCACGTAACTTACCTTCTAGAGTTCCAGAACGGTTGCCGCAATTCGCCAGTGTTTGGGTGTGGTTTGCTCTCACGCTACCCCCCTTTGTCATTTTGCCAAGCCTTGCCTGGAACTTTGTTTCTAAGTTTGTTCAGCATCCCGTATTATACTCGTACCCACTCAGTGGATAACCTGTTTGGGGGATGAGATTCCCCACTCAAAAGACCAAGACATGTAAAACTTGAAATCCGTTGTTTTCCCCCAGAAACTGAGGTATTAGACGAGTTGGCACCTTGTGGGAAGACATTGGATATGCCTCAATCTTTTTGGATTTGCTTGCTTCTTTTCCGATGGGGAATGTGGAATGGCGCTTGAGTCCTTGAGCGTAATGATTCGAATGATTGCTTCGTGTAGTTTCCGATTAACGCTTTGATGTGCAAATTCTGCAAGGATAGGTTGACAGGAAAACTGCACAACCTCGAGCCCCAAAATGCTGCAAATACATGCAAATACCGGTCAATACTGTTTTGTTGATCCCAGGTGGTGCCAGCGTTTCTCTTCCCCCTGTATCTTGCCGGGTGACCGCGGCTTTGTCTTGTAGCTCGTTTCACCTGCATCGTGACCCACTTTGCCAGAACTCGAGGCAGAGCATTTCCTGCTCACGGGCGATGCTGCGAAAGCCCTTCACAAGCGCAGCAGGCGGGCCTGGCACCGGCGAAAACACTGCCGTACCCACCAGTGACCAGTGACGACGGTGGATTTCGGACAGGGGTGAGTTGTGAACGTGTGTTTGACTTTATTTTGTTCCATGCGGGATTGTTTTTGTAAATGTCAGATCCAGCCAACTGTAAGGTTTGGTCCATTTGGATCCTCGTGCGCTTGGGCGTGGGGCCACCGTCGGTCCGATGTCTTCTGACCTATATTGGTCAGTTGGTGCAATTAAATAAGCCCCGGCCAACGTGCAGATCCTCCAAACATGAATCTTTCATATGTCATCCTGGTTTCTTCGTCATTTATGAGTGTTGTCTTTGGGTATATAAGACAAGTGAGTCATCAATAACATTGTGCAATTGTGTTCATGCCTTTTCCCCTTGTGGTTGGCGTCGTTGTTGAACTTCCCTTTCACTTTCCTTCTCCCTTCCCCCCACTCTTTTATCATGGGCAATGACTAGGGTTTGCAGAGGCGGTATATATAGCCTCCAAAGGTTTCAGGTTAGTAATGTAGACTATTGATTAATACACCCTCCCCATTTGGATTGAAATACCTTTTTGTATGGAGGGTCTATTAATCGAGAGTCTACATTAATAATTAGGGGCATTCAGAATCCTCTGCATCACGTCTCACATTACAATGAGTACACTCCCTGGAACTAACATGGAAGCGGAGAATGGCCCCTTGGAAGACCATTTTCCACTACAAACAGGTGGTGAACTCCACTTCCATGTGAATTCCAGGGAGAGTCATTCGTGTATTTTTACGATGTCCACGGCTGCTCCGCCCAGGGCTGCTGCGGTGGCACTCTTTGCGCCCCATTGCCACCGAGCGCTGCGAGCCATCGGCTCGGTGGAAGATATCGCCCTTCGGCTTGAGCGCTGCGGCGCCGTCTTCGGTGTTCGAAGACGTTCGGATGGTTACCTTTCTTATAGGCAGAAGATGGCAGCACGTTCGGCCACTAGGCTTCGGTGCTCAACGTCGTGCGCGGATGGTTTCCAAGCCACGGAGTAGGTATAAGTCTGGTGGATGCTCGACGGTGGTCACGATCCATGCTTCGCTGGTGAACGCCTGTTGCAGGTCTACAACGCTGCGTTGGGCATCACCGAGGCAGAAGCGGACGCGGTCCCCGGTCACGTTCGGGCCCGGTCACGGTGAGAAATGATAAGAGAGGTTGAAGAAGCCTACTATAGACTATGCCATAATGGGGTACCCCAGGCTACGGCAAGGGTTACTATCCCATAGTATTCCATTGAAGGAACCACCGGGTGACGAGATCCACAAGGGTTTATTGGGTTCGCTGGAACAATGGGTGCACACGATGGTAAATAGGTGTAGGCAGGGTGTGTCCCATTACCAGTACCAGTCGGTCGAAGATGATCACTGATGTTGGAAGAAGGTTTGTGCTAACTATCATGATCCACTGTGATCCACTGTGATGGGCTATACCATGATATACCGATATACCCAAGATATATAGATACTTTGTGGGTGTGCACTTCTCCGAACTTACTCTGCAGTTCTTGTTCCATTTGTGCGATCCGGAGCATGGCCTCGGAGCCTCCGATTCCATGCACTGGGCAGCCTTGGATCAACGCAATTGATGCACGACGTCCATTGTTTTTTAATCAAGAACAAACATGTGTTATTTTTGTGCTGCTGCTGCTGCTGCTGGTCGTACATGTACATATACATATACATATATATACATATACATATACATACGTAATTACATACATACATACATACATAGACATACATAGACATGCATACATACATGCATACATACACACATACATAGACATACATGCATACATACATAGACAT